TTTTTCTACAATTAAGAAGAAAAACATCCTCAATCAGGAAGACATCAGTCGCAGATGTTTCGGCCCATTACTACTTAAAAATCAAAACGATATCAAAAAAAAAATTTTCAAAAATGGTGACCTATGAGAATTGTGGAGTGTGAAGTTATAGGATCCCTATGCAGAATTGATTGCATATATCTATCAGCTCATTTCTGAATCTATATCTTGTTCTTCTTCATGAGGAAAATACGTCATCTTCGACTCCAAAAATTATACATTCATGATTTACAAGTAAGGATCTCAAAGGACCATAGATAATCGCTTTACGAACATTTTGAATTTAAAATAAATCATATTTGGCGAAAGGAAGAAAACTTCTATTAAATAAAACTTTGTCAGGACGACACGAAATAGATACGAGAATCAGACTGATAATCATGATCATCGACATTTGATCTTTTCATAAAACAATGTTAAGATGAAGTCCGTCATAAGTCGTAACTTTTTTTCCTCCAGATTATATAAGTAATGAATAACGACTTTTGAAACGTCCGAATAAATCTTTTTAACTCCTATCAATACACATTTTCATATCTGGATACATACATTTTATGATTGAAATATCATGTGTCAACATTACTTTAGAACCACAGTATTCAATATTTTTTCAACTTAATAATGTCAAGCTCTCAGTTCTATTATATGAAAATTTCTGCCGACAGGATGGTTTGAGTATACTATCACTAATTAAGTTGTCATTCGCTTTAGCAAGACTCACTTTGACAAATCATCGAAAATAGTTAGAGCAATGTAGTGTAAGTGTGAATACATTCTTATCTAATATATCGGGTATTCCATAAGTATCTTCATGATAAAAAAATTGAGTAACTCGTCTATGTTTCATAAAAGAAATATGTAACGACTACTGAATTAAGTTTTTATCATTAGTTTTAATATAGAAATATTATTTAATAGGTAAATCATCTTGAATGAATGATAGTTTGTTTTTCAAAATAATTTTTAGAAGGTGGTGTGTATATTAATTTATAGTTCTCAGACAAGATTACATCTTCTTATTGAGGTCAACGATAAATGCTTGATACAGTTTTTGTTATATACTTTTCGTATGAATAAAAACTTTGGTTGTTCCTCAATCGATAAGTAAAAGTACAGCCCATACGATTGAAACATAGTTAAGTTATTCAAATTTTTGTCGTCAAGATATTTGTGAAACGCTAAAAATTCCATCACTATTTTTCAATCTTATTCAAAAACATTCTAATGTTTCGGTTCTCCTACGTCCGTTTGATTTCATTTTATGATTCCACAATAAATCTAATATTTATCTATTGATTAATATGATTTGTATTAAAAATGTTGAGGAATGAATGAGCAGCAACAATCGAAACACAAAAACCTGCTCACAGTTTTTTTTTCCATTCTGTACTCTTTCCAATTACATCAACATAGCCAGCAGCACTACCTGGAGTTTTGTTGTCGGTCAGAAAAATCGATTGTTCAATGATGATTTACAGATCTGATTCTCATCTATGAAAGGAGATTGTGACTATTAGTCTAGTAGGAATTCAAAACTTTAAGGTCGATGTTCGAATAAAGATCTGATCAGTTAGCTGACACTGATATAACTCAAATGATGTAGAAAAAAGTAAAGTCTAGTATAGTTTGTACTCAACAATTAATTGAAGAACTTCAGAAGTTGATTCATCTGTAATATCTGCTCTGTACTATTCATTCATGAATCAATAATAAATCGGTTTGAAGAATCGATTGTAATTAGTAAACTATTACTATTCAATATCTCAACATGCACTGAGAGTGATTATGAATCTGAATTCATTTCGTGAAATTTATTCTAGTTTCTGAGTATCGCACTAATTTACAGTTATTTTAGTATTTTACCAATTTTTATCAACTTTTACGTTTTCAATAATCATTTCGAACTATTTATTGTAGTAAGTTGAATTGGAAATTTATTTATATGAAACTTCGATATAATCTATTTGTTTTCTACTTTTATCCATTTCAGAATTTAATACAGTTTATTTGTATTCCTTCAAAAAATGATTTCCTCAAATTCAGTTGATGAATCATGGAATGAAGGTTGTAAATATGATATTAATTGTGATAAAGCAGCGACGCATTACTGTCAAGGATGCGGAGAAATATACTGCATAAGTCACTATTGGGAACATCAAACTAAACTTCAAGAACATTTTGAAAATATACAATTTACACAAGATTTATTGAATCAAGAATTGAAATCATTACTATCACGACTATCAGCAAATGGCATATTAGATTTCATAAAGCAAATTTATGAAATCAAAATGAAATTAAACGAAATTGAAAAAACAGTGAATACACTACAACAACAGTTACCAGATGTAATTAATGATGATAAACAAGATTTCAAAAAGCGCTTAATGACAGTAATAAATAGATCAGAAGGGCGTAATCTAAATGATTATCTTGAAAATTATATTGACCGCTTAAGACAAGATATTGAAGAATTAAAATTAAAACTAGAAGAAATTCAAAATAATAGTCAAAAAAGAACATCACAAGAACAATTACAGATTCAAGATATGAGAGTTCGATCGAAAAGTCTACCTGTAAAAATAAAACCACCGTTAATGAATTGGATATCACAGGGTAAAAGAAAAATCTTACGTTCTGTTCTTGATGCTTCAAGACAGAGAGTGATGCCACAAGCTGATGATCCAGCAGTACTGTGTCATCTACTCCTCACACCAGTGAGTCCATCGGTCTTAGATCTAAAAGAAAACAAACTTGTTCTACATGAAGAAGATAACGAAATAGATGCAGAAGACGAAGACGAAACAACTATGGTTATCAATTCTAATACAACACCAAGAATTAGTCAAAAGATACGTCTCTCCAATAACATTGTTAGTTGGATACGAGGTCCCTTTAGAGTAATGGTTGATGGTACAATGCATATGGTCGACTTTTGTGCACAAGCAACACGTATAAGTGATGCTGTTGTAAGAGCTGCGGAGCAAGGATTAGCCAGACAAAAACAAACTATCATGGAACAAGAAACTACTAGTAATTCAATTAAGCCAGTCTTTACCGAAATTACATCCGATTGGACGTTTGAAGGCAACAATACTGATCAAGGTTACACTAGTGAATCGATATGGATGCGTAATCCTCAAGGTCAACGAATTTTAGCCAAAACAGAAGACCATCCATTATGTGCTGCCAACGAAAGACTAGCCTATACTTTAGGAGGATTACTTGGTTTGCCTGTTAATGAGGTACAGATTTCAATTTATCAAAATAAACTGGTAACTTTGCATACTGATGTTGCTCAAGAAAATGAAAAAGTTATTACATTCATGGATTTACCGAAACAAATAAGAAAAAATCTATTGACTAATCCATTGTTGGAATCTATGGATCTATTCGATCGTATAATACACAATGTAGATCGTAATCCACGAAATATTTTAGTAACAATATCGAAAACAGATTCAATCGATGATGATAATACCAGATTGAAGATACATTTAATTGATCATGGTTCCTGTTTTGGTATGGGTAAACTTAATGTCATCAGTCTTGTAGCCTGCAAGTTTCATAGTAATCATCTTTCGGTGGTTACATTTGATCCAATAGAGAAAGCAAGAAAATTCGAACAATATCTCAGCAGATTGCCAGTAGCCGATCGTACTTTAATGAGAAAGACATTAAATCGTTTGGCAGAAATTAGTGATGATCAATTGGGTAATTGTATAACCGAAGTACAGGATCTACTATCATCCAATCAATACAATCGCATACATAGCGTCTTATATCGACAACGAGACATTGCAAGACGTTATGTGAAACAGTGGGGTATTGGTCCTAGGCTTTCAAATTTAAAAGAACACGAAACAAATGAAATTACTTCTGAGACAAGCGACAGGGTGGCTTATTTCTAAATAAGAGAGAAAATATATGAATTTCTCTTATTAACTATGTATAATTATTCACAAAAGAAAAAAGATACAAGATTTAAACTCGCTTTTTTTTTCTTTTAATCACTAGTTATCAAAAATAAATTTGAAACAGGAATAAAATGGACAGAAATTATCATTGAGTCGATTTATTATATCTCCAGTCTGGATTGTAAGTATCTAAATCAGAGTTTTAAAATCTTCATATAAAAACAGTGTCAAATATAATTCATACATATGCAACATAAAATATAACATATCAAGACTTGATAATTGCTAATTGAATTAACAATAGATAGATTCTGATTTTTGAGATATGTTCTAATTCCAGTTCTTGAAGAAGAGACTACGATAAAGTTCCTGCAGATGTTTTAAATACTAAATAAATGCAACTTTTTTCTCTCTGTTACGACAGAATAATATTGCTTTCAGCAAGAGAAAAACAAAAATTTTCCATAATAGATAGAGTGATTTGCTGCTCTGCTTCCATTCGAGTTATATACTATGAGCAATGATAATTGTGTTGTATCATCTGCATTTACTAGCACCACCTGAGAATAAGATTGGACTACAACAGAGCTAATAAGGGAGGTATCCTGATTGTAACGCACCGTTTGAGCTGACATAGAAGTCTTGGTAAGATTTCATAAAGCCGAGAAGGGTTCGTCTTCCTCAAACTCTCCAAGCAAAAACAATATCGAGCATTCTAAGAGCTTAGAATTATAAAACTATGTTGTCTTCCTTAGATTCTATTTATTTTATGTTGACACAAGAGTACTGTAAGCGAAATCCAATTCTATTTGTGTTAACGTGGCTGTTGAAACAAAGTGATAGATTGTCTTGATTCTAGACATCGAAAGGCATTTTTCTAATAAAAAGTCACGTAATGTTTGCTATCGATTATTAATTTATTACATCGATAGAAGTTCAAAGTATTGTAAAAATATAATGTAAACTACTATGGTCAATTAATTATGAAATACTGTAAAGGTTGACTATTTCATTACATCTTGAATAGTATACTATATAATCATAGAGCATATATGACTCCAACTGCTGTTTATGCTAATCTCAAGCATGGTACCTATGCTACACTGCAATTAATTATCACACCCTTCGAGTGTTGTTTACTCCTTGTTAATTTATAGAAGATAAAAGCATGAATCGATATTTTTCACTTTCGAAATCTATGAAAATTTTAAGTATGTCTATTTTCCATCATTGAGTTTATGTTCAAAGTCTATGAAATTATTTGTAGTTGAATACTAAATTCGAGTTACATTTTTTTGTTAAGGACAATTTAATTTGATATTATATCATTATGTTGTTTTTGTAATCTTGAAATGAACATGCTTTTTCTTGTTGTCTTTAAATCAAAAGTCATTTGAAAGGATTCTATTTCTTCAATACGTTTGTATTATATCTTTGCTTTTCTTTCCATTTTTTCTTTTCTTTATAGTACACCATCATACTGCTTCTCTTTTCTTCTTGAAGTACTATTACAAGATTATTTGTTTCATTTTAGTGATCGATGATAAAAGCTCCTAAATTACCTTGAAATACAAAAAAAAAAGGCAAACATAATGAAATATAAGTTTTTTTTTTCTAGTTATTAATCATCGCTTATGATCGACATGAAGTTCAGTAAATGATTCGTTAATCAATAGTCAAACGAAAAATAGAAATTAGTGATGACTATTAACATACTCTTCATTTTTTTTTTCTATATTATATAAATGTCTACATACAAACTAACAATAATATAAACCAAAAAAAAACGAAAAGCTATTTTAATCTTTCTACTCATTCTTTCTGTCGCTATACATATAACTATGAAAGAAGCTCTTTTTTTTTGAATTTGAAAGCTTTGTCTTAACTTAGTAGTTGTTGTAAATGGTCATAAAAAGAATAGATGATTTAACTGAAAGTAAGTACTAAATAAAATAATCGATCTAACTAATTCCTAAAACACAAACTATAGATCATTAAACGTCAGTTTTCTTTTCGAATTATTTTAAATCTAATCTTCTTTTGATACAAAATATCTATTAGTATAATAGCACTACTACAACAGTAAAGTCAAGTATTTCTTTCTTTTTTTTTTTCTTATATTACATCTTATTGAATTTCTACATTGACAACGGATCACAATCTTTTCGTTGTACATTGATAATATGCATACAGTGCACATACGTTTGTAATGTTTATTTAACAAGATTTTTTTTTTCTGTTTCTCTTTCTTTTATTTCTTTTCGTGAATTGATTGATTTGTGAGTCCAAAATGAAGAATAGCAACAGTAAAAAAAAACAGTTTAAATTATTTCTACTCAAAATTTGGATGGTAAGATGATTGCATAGTCAAACACAAGCTATTCGCGTCATCATCTTTCCCGAATAGTTAAAATGAGCAAGACAGAGAGAAAAAAAAACAAAATCATACATAACACATTCATGTTTGAGTATTTTTTTACGGCTTGCCAATGAAGACAATTACAAAAAATAGTATACTTTGGTCATAACAATGTTGTACAATATTGTACAATATACATTGAACTGATTTTTTGTTTTTCAACAATATTCAATTGATTAAATTTATGTTTTCTTTTTTCATTTGATAAGGTAAAAAATGTTTGCTTCAAAACAATTAGTATCATCATCATCATCATCTAATCCATCTAGTCTACATTTACCTACTGTTTCAAAAACAACTCGACAACATTATCAACATTCATCTGATCTATCATATCCTTCAATGTCACCGATACCACCACCACCACTACCAACAACAACAACAACAACAACATCAGAAAATGTTTCAGCATTAAAAGCTAAATATATTGATTATGCAATGTGGTTAAAAGCATCATCAAGACAAAATCGTGAACCAATATTTACACATGAATTATTAAAACATTCTTTATGTCAAATGGGTATTGATTCAACACAAGCTGAACAACTTGTATCAACATGTAGTTGGTATGTATATCAATTTCAAAAAGAATTAGAAGTTGATAATGAACAACATGATCCATCAATAATAACAGAAAATAAAATATCTCATCGACCATCAAGACGACGATATAAAAAAATACGTACAACGAAATCAAAAAGACCTATTCCTCCAAGAGAAAATTCATCAGAATCAGCAACAACAATAACTTCTACAAACAAAGGTTAAATAGTTATGAAAAAAAAAACCAACGAAAAAAAAGAAATTAATAAAATAATTCATTCGTTTTATTTTTCTGTTAGAAAGTATTGTTTCATCTGGAACATCTCCATCAACACGAAATAAATTTTCTGTTTTACCAGCTATTCAAACTTCTGAACATATAATATCACCACGTTTTCGTCGTGTTGATTTCAATAATGAACAATCAATAGAAGGACAAAAACCTTCACGTTGGCGATCAACTATATTAAAAACACGAATTTTACCCAAACTTCGACCATCAGAAATTGAATCATCTATTGATAATCGTCATGATATTACACCTGAAACTACACCGATTGATCTTGATTTATTAAGTTCACAAAAAACTCTTCAACAACATAGTGGTTTACCTGGTAGTTATCATACTCGATCAATACTACGTAAACAAACTAGTTCATGTTCATCTGTTGCATCAACAGAAATTGATAATCGAAGATATCGAAGTAAAATATTAACACCAGCATCAACAATTATTGATGAAATACCATTAGGAACACGATCACAACGTTTATTTGGTGGTAGTGAATGTTTTGCTCAAATTATGAATGAACTTGAACAACAAAACATTGATTAAATTTTTCAACATTTTTATTTTTGTATATAGAAAAAAAAAACAACAAATCGGACAAATATTTCTTTTTCTTTTTCGTTTAATAAATCATCTCATTAATCTAAATACAAAATGAATAGTAAAATAATATGAAAGATTTCATTTGGTAATTATAAGATATCAGTAATAATAGTTAATATTGCTTGAATTTCACAATCTCAAATCATTCGATCAACTTACATCTTCATATACAAAAGTGTATTTTTTTTTTGCTTTTTCTCATATTAATCATAAAACTTTATCTGGCATATAATCTATATATAGAAAAAAAAAATTCTCATTTTACAATACGAATAAAATAAACATTATTATTATGAACGAAATAACGTCTAGAATTTTTTTATAGATGTAAGTGTTTGTGAACCTTGAAATAACTTTTTATTGTCGCTTCCTTCATAAAATTAAATCAACACAAAAGAAAAAAAAACTACAACTTAAGTGTCCATATTACGAATAATAAAATTTTCGACACAATATTTTTTAACAAATCAATTTTTTTTTTCTAAAAATAAACTTGGGTGTGTCTTTATTATTGAATAAATCATGATGAGAATATTTATCGAATTTATGCCTTAACTTCACAAAACAAAAATAATTATTTTTTTTTTTTTTGATAGCAGTCAAAATATATGCAAATCGAATGGTTGCATGGATACAAAACATCTGTATCTATATATAACTTTCAAGTGGCATCTCAAACATCAAATCGATGATTAATATAAGAAAATTTTGAGAATAATTATTTCGATTTTTGTATGTCACAAATGAAATCAGGAGCATTGTGAGGAATTCTTCTTCGAGAGGGGCAATGTAAAGGTACTCCATTTGGGTATGACCTTCAATGAAATTAACATATGATTTGAATAGTTCATTAGAAGAATATTTACAACAATCATCTATCAAATTAATAAGATTCAATCTTATATTAATTTTAAACAAAACTCATAAATCGATTAAATTCAAATGTTGATTAATCATTTTTCATGTTCGTTACAAATCAAAATAGAATTTTGTTCGAAGTGCTAAAATAATTTTCTAGAAACAAGATATATGAAGTCTACTGGAAAAACTAAATTATCAATTTTAATTTTATTCTTATTTTAACAAGATTTGTTTTCAATGATCTATTATTATGACAAATATTTAATGCAAATAAATATTTATTATCCTGTTTTTTTATTTATTTATTTTACATCTTGTGATCCTACATATAAAATGAACAGTAAGTATTTCTTTTCTTACTTTAGTTTGTTTTTTATTTATTTTCGATGATTTATGAATGAAAAATTTCATAAAACATTATATATATTTTTATTATTTAAGTAATTTATTTTAGTTCATAATTTTATTTGATTTTATAGATGAGGAGAGAAAAATATAGTCGTATACGAAGTTCGTAACTTTTAATCTGGCGAGATCCTATCTTGAAGAAAATTCTTTAGTCGAGATAAGATAGTATTAAAAAAATTATAGATCGAAGCGAAATGGGACAACCTATTAAAAAATCTTGTCTGTTTCGATTCTTGATTTACAGGTATTTGCAAAAAAACTTGCACAACTTCTTCTACGGATATTATTTTGTATATAACTGTTTTTCGAATTCTTTTATAGTGTGGTGGATAGTCCACGACGAATACTACACGACACTATAATTTGATATTCGATCTGTTCACTTATAGAAGAAAAACAAGACAAACATCTCTTTTTCTCCGCCGAAAGAAAAAACATTATAATCGAAATTTTAACATTTTTAACTTTTTCATCTGAAAAATGTTGGAGTTCATCAATTGTATTTTTGAAAGTTAATGACGAGTAATGTCAATTATCATAGTTCAATATTTTATTCGTTCACCTTTATCATCAATAAGAGACAAACGTCTGTTTTTTCATCGACATTAGACAATTTTTTACAGTATGTGGTAAAACATTTCTATAGCCATATTCGTGAAGATGACGACTTATTGTTGAAGTAGATACTGACTTTTGGCACTTTTTCGATAAATTTTCTTGTATTTCTTTATATCAGAAAGGAAAGAAATCACGCTTTTATATGCTCAATGTATAGTATATCTATCGATGATTCATCGGTAGAAAAATGAACTCTCTAACTGCTTCTAACGACTAGAAAAACGTTTAAAAGAAATATTGAATTTTGTGCAAGTTTTTTTGCAAACACCTGTATATTTAGAAAAACCAGAAGACAAATGTATCACTAATTGAAATATAGAGTTACTTTTTCTATGGAGAATCAAATTAAAAATCAGTATCAAAAATTCCATTAATATTTTCATGCTTTTTATATCCATAAAATAAAATAATCAACGAATTCTGAAGTGTCACTCAATTTCCGATATCTGAATTTTGCCAGACACTCATTCTTAAGAGTTTATATTGAACAAGCATCGTCAAACAGGAAATTGCTTACTATACTTGATCATCAATAAGTATCAGCCTGCTATCGTTTCATTCGTTTGAAATGATGATCATCGATTAAGTGACAATAGAATATATTGTCTATTAAGAAACGATTGTGATGTCATCTCTCTTGTTGATTATATTTTTCATATAGTAAGATGCAGAGATTGAAAGTATTTTTTAAAAACCATTTTGATACATTCAACATTTTGAAAGAATATGTGTATAATGACCTATAAACAGCAATTGTCAGGCTTTATATTTCATCAAAAGAATAGTTTGTTATATGTTTTTTCAAGGTAATCAAAATATATACACATTTAAAAATCAACTAACATAGCAATTGAGATTGTTGTCCAATCGAGTAATCAACAGAATTACTCGATTTAAATCAACGAGAATATGTTGTACTTTTGAACATTTGTTACGTGCAGCATTATTTATGAAATTCTCTGTTACACTTACTAACATTTCGTACTTAATATATAATGCGTCAAGACGAGGAAGATATGTATTGAAGTTGAGAAGAAATTGTTTTGCATAGTTGATATGATACAAAGTGAGTTGGAACATCATAAGATGAGAATACTCAATAATCGAACATATTCGATCATGTTCATCTTGTTGATGTTTTAAATTTTTTTGTTGTTTACTTAGAAAAAAAGTCTTTCACATCGAGGAAAAGAATACTCATCAATAAACCACCAGGAAAATTGTTAGAACATATATACATGTATTATTGAATGATTCATATTCAATTACAAATGAAAATTTTTTTTTTGAATGTAACCTTATATATATATATATACAAATCTATATGTTCATTCTATATTACAACTGGCCTCTTCAAGAATAACAATGGTAGATGATTCGATGGTGTAAATTATGACCTTGGATCACAATCGAATACGTTAATAAATAAATAATATTATTTTGTCCAAAATAGAATTATCAATAACAATTGAGTTAATTTAAATTTCTTTGGAATATACGTTTTTATTCATTACATTCACAGATATTTTCGAAAAAGTTTATTGAAGTAAGACTTAACTTTTCATGACTTGATAAAACAGTCGATACTTGTTTACTTCTGATATAGATCTCAGTCCTACTCAACCTTATGCAGAGTATTTGTCATACAGAGTAATAAGAGCCCTACATTTATAAATAATCGGCACGCAGATCTGACGAGTTAAAGTTTGATTGGTAAATATAACGAAGCACAAAAATAAATGCAATTTCTACTATGTTCATATACTATAATGTATCTACACCTCTTCTCATTCCTGTACACCTCATATCAAACTCTCTTATATCTCTAATAGTGTTTTTTGCGAGGGTTGTCTGATTCTGTGAATCTTTCTACGCGCCCAACCGTTATCTTACAAACCAAGTAGACGTCAATAGACCTTGAATACACAAAAGAAGCACCAATTCAAAGTTGAATCAAGTGATTAGAAGAGAAATGTAGCAAAATGTTCCTGTGAGATTTGATTCAGATCGTAACACAGTATGCATTGATTTCAAGCTGACTTTTGTTCCGTATTTCTATTAATAAGTAGCCTTTACCGTATTTTATTATTTAGATACAGAAGTTTATAAAATCAATTTTTTAAATATTCAAACAACCACCGAACTTATACGTACAAACTAACTGAGAGACAGAAATTTGATTTATTCTTATTGTACATCACAGTACAAAGATATATCTATATATGCATAACTACTTCCCAGGAGAAAACTAGTACATAAATCAACGAAGAAATATAAACTTGTTCTCGAATAACATTTATCTGCAGCATTACATTCACTCGGAAAATAATTCACAAAGTAATAAGCAATTTTTTATGATATTCTTTGACTATTTTTTCAAAATATTTTGGAAGTATCCTTATTATTCAATGAATTATAATGAGAATATTTATCAAAACTTCACAACAAGAATAATTATTTTTTTCGATAGCAGTCAAAATAAATGTCAATCAGATCGTTGTGTAAATATAAAATATTCATGTCAATACATAACTTTTAAGTATCATCTCAAATGTCAAATTGATGAGTAATAGAAGAAAACTTTGAGAATAATTATATTTTTTTGTAATTCCAACCTGTCAAATTAATAAGATTCAATCTTATCCTAAATATTAAACAAAACTTATAAATCGATAAAATTCGAATATTGTTTAATCATTTTTTTTTTATGTTCGCTGCAAATCGAAACGAAATTTTGTTCGATAAAAATTGTTATTTATCATTTTAATAATTTGTTATTGATTTTTCTGACACAATAGATCCTTCATTACATTTTCTTGATGGTATTGATCGAATAACAGAAATCAATATTTCGTTTAATCTTCCTTGAATATGAGTATAATATAATTGATTCAAAGTACCGAAATAGTTTCCCGCCAAGAAGATATATGGAGTCTACAGGAAAACAAAAATCATAGATTTTACGTTTTTATTTCTATTTCAATAAGATTTCTTTCAATGAATCATTTTTATGACAAATATTTAATTCAAATAAAGATCCAAAATAAAGTTGATCAATGAAAATATATGGAGTCTAGATAAATGAAAATTTTAAAACAAAATAAAGTTGTTTTTTTTTCTCTTAAATACCTGTCGTCGATCAGTAAAACAAAGAAAACGAAAATAATTTTCTATTTGTTTACAATCTTGTCTTTTTTCAATATCAATCCATTCATATGTATCTTTAAATAAGAATATATAATGTTAAATTTTCTTTTGTATTTTTTAAAATATAAAATGTACCTTTTGGTAAAAAATATTGTTCAAATATTTGTTTAACTTGTTGTGAATCAGGATCATTTGATTTACCAAATACTATTATTCGTCGAGTATTTATTTTCATATTAACAAAATGTTTTGTTGAACCAGACATATTTATTATCTATAATCAATGAGTTAATCAAGATTCATTATTTTATCAATCATGAATATAAATATATTTATTCGTTGTAAAGGAAGAAGAAGAGCGAGAAAAAAAAAGAAGCATTTAGTCTTTTAATCGTGATGTTGGTCGTTGATCTAAAATAATTGAAATACATTTTTAAAATTCAAATATTTTTCAATTAAACTAACTTGTAGATTTAGCACTTGAAGGTATTCGTGTTTTTTCTGAAATATTTGTTGTTTTTTCTGATATTGATTGTTGAAGTTGTTGTGATGGTGGAATCAATTGTAGATCAAGTAATTCTTTTGCTTCACGTTCTCTTAATTGTTGAAAACGATATAATGGATTTTTTTGTGCAAGTAATGTTTCCAATGATTGATATTCAGATGATTTTGTTGAAATATCATTCATACCCTTTTTAGAAAAAAAACAAATAGTATTGTTAACAATCGGAAAATATCAAACAGGAAGAGTTCATCGAATTCGGGTTTTTTTTTGTTACTTGATTTCAATTTATTACGATTTTTTGGACATAAAATAAGTAGTTGGATTTGAGTTCCGAATGAACTCGATGGACTTCGTTATAGTAATTATAATAATAATTAGAGATATATTATAGGATAAAGAAAAGTTTTGTTCATTTTTTATATTTGTTTTTAATGAATAAAAGTTTTCTTTTTTAAATTATGAATGTTGCCTTAAATCCAATTCCAGAATTAACTTCTCCTCAATTCAATAAGCTTTAGTTCAAAGAGCTATCTACAAAAGATTTGTCTCACTTTCGAGTGTATTATTCCTTATCTATCGTAAATAATAATAAAACAAAATTTTTTACTTTTAATTCAAGTCGGCAAAGACCAAGAAAGTTCGTTGATGAAGTTGTTGTTGTTGTTGTTGTTGATGATGATAAATTAAATGCATCATTAAAACTTGTTAATGCTGATTGTTGTTGAATTGAAAGAAGAAATTCTCGAACACTATCTGATGTTAAATAATTTCCTAAAAGAACTTTTTTTTTGTTTTTTTGAAAATAATATTTTGTTTTTTGTTTTACGTGATAAATTTAAACTTAAAAGAACAAAATTTCCTCTTAACCATATTTCACCATCTTGTGATTCAATTTCACTTGGTTCCATTAATGGATTTTCATTATCAGTATATTGAATTGGTAATGACATTGGCTATTTAATTAAAAAAAATATTCAAAGAAATACGTTTTTTTTTCTTTTTTTTTTTTTTATATTATTTAAAAACGAAAAATATGTTAGCGAGCAAGAAGAAGAAAGACATGAATACATAGCAGAGCAGTAAATACTTTTCCTGATGATGATAAATCAGATGATTGACCCTAATGATTAAGAAAATGTTAAAATATCTATTGTTTTTTTTACTGTTTCTTATAAATTCAGATAAAAGAATATATAGAATAAAAGCAAGAATAGGAAATATTGATATATAATTATGAATTAAATATAATATCGATTCGACTTACAACGAAATCGAATAATGTACTCAAACAATTGAGTGTTTCCTGTAGGATTTATGTGTATAAAGTGCATATTAAATTGTGATTTGTACAAAAAAAAGTAAAACTAGAAAAAATTTCTTTACCTGTTGTATTGCATCTTCATCTTCTTCTTTAACCATTGAAATCGTCTTTTTTGTTGTAGCATTAACAGTCGTTGCTATCTTTCTCATACGTGAAGGAGGATTCGTTCGAGATTGATCTATACAAAAAAAAAAAAAGAACAGATTTTATCTTAAAAAAATAATAATAATTAATTCTTTTTTTTTTTTACCGGATTCTTTAGTATTTGTATTTAATGTATTAGCAGCTGTTCGTCGAGATGTATTAGCAGTTGCTGATGAAGAATTATGTGTTGTTGAACGGCTACCACTACCTTCATTTCGTCCTCGTTTTAAATCACCTTTATTTTCTGATGGTGGACGACTTTCATCTAACAAAATAAAATAAGAATATGTTATTAATAAAAATAATAATTATATTTTTTTACCAGATTCAACTCGATTACGTTTCTCCTAAAAAATAACATCAATCCTATAGCATATAAGAAATGAAATAGAAAAAAAAAAGCATTATATACGATAAGATTTTGTGCTGTTTTTAATATGCTTATTTTTCGTTTAGTTATATCTGGTACACGTTTTCGATCATTTCGACTACTTCGACCTGATTTACTCTTTGTTGATACATTTGAAGGAGTTGGTGAATTGGTCTTAAATGATAAAAATTATTATTTTTTCTTTTTGTTTATTAATAAATAAATGATTTTTTTTTTTTGTAACTAACAGAAATTCTAAATTCATCTGGATGTGTTTCAACATAATGTTGAACAGTTAAATGTCGACGTCGAAGGATTTCTTCTTGTGTAAGAACAATTCTTCGAAGAACCTATTTAATAAAAATTTCTTTTCGTTTAAAACAAAAAAACTTTTCTAATTTAATAGTTAAAATAAAAACAAATTATTTAAAACATAAGCAATATTTTCAAATTTTATTCTAAATATCATAACACATATCATTATTTTAGACTATGTTTGATAAAATGCACAAGCGGCTTTTTTTCCTATCAAACAAAGTCTATAGAATTAAATCGATTAGTAGGGACAACTATATGAAAAAAAAAAAAAAAAGAGAAACCTACCCCTATTTATATCTAAAGAAATATTTTAGAAAGATAATATTTATTATTAAAATAAAATACTTACTAATGCCAAAGGAAAAGCACCTTTGTCAGTTATAAAATTCGATGAAAGATTAAGAGTTATTAATGTTCTATTATAACGTAATGCCTAAGAAAAAATAGAAATTATTAAATTTGAATAGAATAAATTTATTATTTACTGTTGCAAAAGATTTAGCACCATCATCACCAATACGATTTCCACTTAGATTAAGTGTTAATAATTTTCGATTTGGTTTTAACATGTTACCAAGAGCATTAGCAAGACGTTCAGCACCTACATCAGTAATATTACAATAACGAAGAGATAATTGAATAATTCTATAGACATTAAAGATAAGTAATACTTAAAAATATATATACGAATTAAATTTTACTTTGAATCATCTTTTTCAATGAAAAGATAAAAATAATCTGCTGCTAATGGATTTCCATCGAATGAAACATTTCTGAAATAATTAATAAATTATTTTTCGATTATATATATTTATTTATTATTATGTTTGACAATGAAAATAAATGAATTCAATGAACCAGTTCAAAAAAAACACAAACTTACTTCAAATTTTTCGTTACTTGACATAATTCAACTATCCCATGAATAGTTTTCTCATTCAGACCAACAAAACAGAAACTATATTTATAAGAATATGTAGAGAGAGAGAAAGAAAGAAAGAATAAAAAAAAAAGTTTAATATAAGTTACTCAAGTGTATGTAATTGTTCTTGTAACGGAAGAACTTTTTTCAAAATATCAATAAAACGTTGATCAAGTTGCCAATCTAAATATAGATGAATAATATTAACAAAATACAACACTAAAGTACCTCTTATATAAAGAGATGTTATTTGATCAATGGATTCGTTATCATTATTGACTGAATCTACTAATAATTTAGGTCGAAAATAATCACTATCATTAATTAAATTAAATGTTTTATAGGTCGGTGAAGATATTTTTGGTTGTTCTTGTCCTATATATAAGAAAGATTATTTACGAATGTATAAAAAAAAACAAGGAAATTGATGTACCTGTAATACTCATTGATCTTTTATCAGCATCAATGCCTGTTATTCCTATTATAATTCCACTTTGAGCAACAGAAGGCATTCTTGCACGAGATGCTCTCTTTCCCATTGATGGTAATTGTTCTTCCGCAATTACGGCAGGTAATGATGGAGTAGCTGACGTTCCAGGATGTGTTCCTATATTTTGCTGTTGTTGTTGTTGCTGCTGATTTTGTAATTGAAACGATTGAATTGGTGCGGATGTTGGTGGACGACCACGAATATAAACAGGAATAGTTATAGGATAGACTGAAGATGGTTCACGACAACATAGTTCTAAATCAGCAGCAAATTTACCTACACACTGCTGACCATCTATACAATATTGAAGATGAAAGTTTAAAAAAAACAAGAAAACGAAAAGTAAATGTAATGACCTTGCTCAATCAATGTCCCAATACCAGCCATACCTAACACACTCGTCCCACCTTGTGCAAATTTACTTCCTTTCATGACAGTATCTACTCGTTTTGGACCCATGATGTATAAAATCAGATAAGACGACAATCGAGAAGTCTAAAATCTGTGTAATCTCTATACCATTTTAACTTCAATGCACATCGATACACCTCTATCCTACAGAACAGCAATAAAACAAATAACAGATGGCGCCTATTTTTGTATGAAACAATAGACACAATCGATCTATTCTATTTTATCTAGATGAATAAACAAACTGCAAGTTGTTTTATTTGAACTTTTATAGAACATTTCAAAAGATCGAAATTTTTAACCTAAAGATTTTAAGTTCATATAAATTATATTCAAAACTTATTTTAAGTATTATTGTTAATAACATCATTCTCTCATTCATCATTGTTCAGGACTATATGCAATTTTATATTTTTAGTTAACAGTAATAAATATACAAATTATAAGAATACTTATAAAAGATATCAAGACAAAGTATATATTCATGATGTAAGCACCGAAGTATATTTCAGCTGATATCTGATGAATCACATTTTCTTTTGTACGCAAATACTTTATTGTTCTCAAAAAAAAAAACAAAGATGAATAAATATTATCACAGTATACTTCTGTTTTTTTTGCTTTTGCGCTGTTCTTTTTCTTCAGTCAATTGCAAGGACATTTTCTTTCAACAATGCATTTTTTTTTCCAAACAATATAGTGATGTTTGAATGAAAGATACATGAATAATAAATGAAAATATTGACTTTGCATCAGATTGATAAAATCTAATATGAATATGAAA